AATTTATGAGAGAATTTAACTGGACGGGTCGGGGGCTGCTCGCTGGTACGCCCATGGCGAAAAAAGCAGAGAACTTGGTCAGGAAAACGCGAAATCGCACCTCCTTGTTTATACGTTGATTTGCGCTGGTGGACATACAACGGCTCAGACACCGGATGTGTGAACGAGTTTACGGCAACGCTTTTGATACCACCATGAAACCATGCTCCAGTCGAGCTGCTCCAATTGTGCCGCGCAAATCACAAGGTAAGCTAGTGGGTGGATCGCTTTTAGGGGCGGGACGATTTTCAGCGCACCTCTAGTCGTGAAAGAGCTGCACCTTGCAAAGCAGTTACCGGAGGTTCTGAGCAGGACTACAAAAGCACTCCGCCCAAAAACGATCCGCCCACTAGTTTAGTTGTGATTTGGACGAGCTGCGTTGCCAGCAGCGGCACAACTGGAGCAACTCGATTGGAGCATGGTTTGGCATGGTGCCACCAACGCGCTGTAAATTTATCCACACTTCCGCCGTATAGCCGTTGCTCGTTCTTGAGCGAAGATCATCGGGCAGGTAAGGGGATCATCTTTTCGACTTTTCTTAACGGATTTCTCTGCTTTTTACCCATTGGCGGGCCATCGAGCATTTTCAGGTTCCCTGTAAAGCTTTTCAGAGCCCATCGTAATCACTGCCTTTGATACGTACTACATTGAGTGCGGAGCCGAACGCCCCCTTCATGCATCTGCGCTCTAACCCTCCACGGTAGCTTCAGAACAGCAATTTAGAGTAATCGTGCCGCAGGAGGCCAGAACGCAGTGATCAGGACATCAGTTAGGCAAAAGAGGAAAAAAAAAAACAGGAAAATGACACCTATCAGTGCATGAGGACCCGTGTATCTTTGAGAAATATGCCTAAAAAGAAGTAATAGAGGCGCTCTGTGGCGCCGTGCGCTCTGTCATGCGTCCTCTTGCTCATCTTGCACGTGGTGCGGCAGCGCAACGGCTGTTCGTGCACCACCCAATCTATTTGGGGGTTATGGGGAGCACGGAAGTGACAACTGGCCACTCTAATCAATCTAGTATACTCAAGCTTGATTGCGTTGAATAAATAACCATAGGACATTTTTGTGATTAGACACTTGATGAGGTTAGGGACTGAAGAGCTTCATTTGAATTACTCGTCCAGAACTGGAAAGTCAACAATCCGCCATTGTTCTTCAACCTGAATTTTTCATAGCTCTTTCGCCATTCTCACGCTGCCACTATTGTTTGACAACATCAATAAAAATATTGTGTTCTTTAGTCTTGTCGTCATCAACACGCTTCTTTCAACAACACACAAAAGGAACACACACGAAAAAAGGAAAACATTCACACTTTTAAGGAGATGTCAATGTTAGGAGTAAGTGAACGGCATTCGATTGCTCGCAAGGTCTACTCGTTAGTGATCTGGAATTTTTTCTGGATATCGAGAGGGACAACGCTATTTTACACCCCCCCCCCCCCCACTTCATGACTGAGTGCCATTATTAAATTCAGTAAGCAAAGTCCACAGCCTCATTCCACAGGAAGGTAAAAGAGCTGCAGATTATTGGGCAGCAATCGGATTTAGGCAGTTTTTTCAAGATGGCATAGTTGGAGATGGGTAGGGCGGATCAACACGTTGTCATGTCGACTTCGTATAATGTATGCTATACGAAGTTATACGGTAAGGTTGAAGGCTTAGAGCTTTTTAAGCTTGTGGCGTCGACAATCGCTTCCTGGGATGCGCCATGCATCCTTCCTCCATTCAGAGAGGTAGACATTCAAATGCAGTATGGCTAAGTGACTTACAGGGCCAACTAAAACAAAGACAGTGACTTTATGCTCTCAACCAAGTCTGTACCATTGACTAATCCCAGACGAATAGAACGTTTGGTTGATGCAGTCGAAATCTGATCCGGAGTTTTATAATCTTACCGTNTGCTTGAAAAATGACCTNTTGCCACTACATCGCCTCCGACCAAATGACGGCAATGGACGCGGAATTGCTACAATGATGACGGACTACGGTCCATGCTTAGACTATCAAACGGCTTTATTGGAGATGAGGATTTTCTTGACGATGGCAAAAACTGTTCGCAGCAACTTCGTATTATATTTTTTCCTGGTCATCATTTTAGTCATTGGTGACCACAGAAATCAGGAACGAGCACATCTTTTTCTGTGGACAGTAAGGTAAAAAAATTATTCTGTAGATACAATATTTCACCTTATAGAGAGGGAATATTCCTCTCTTCCCCGATCTCTTATTGAATCCCACCGCATATCCATCATGTTGATTCTTTCGCACACTAATCAAATCTCCTACTCGTAGGCTAATTTCAGTATCATCCTGTGCGGAGTGACTTTCGATAGCGAATGTGATCGTTCTCTGAAACTTATCATCTTAATGAAAGTCCGAGCCCACATGAAAGGATCCTTCTCGATGCGTCTGATGAAGTATTGGAGCGCTTAAAGCATCTCTGGAATAGTTTGACTATATTCCACCGTGAGCTCTACCTTTAGCACTACGTGACCGCATATGTTCGCCACGCCTGTCTGGGGGCACGGGTTGCGACTACCCTCAGAAAAATTCTTCCCTTCGGCAAGCTCCCTTCAGGGACTGCTGATCAGTCGAGTGGTGCCCTGTGCCAAGGCGATTGATGACGTCGAGAAGTTCTTTGACCATGGCTCTGCCATGTGCGAGAGTATGGCGACAATGAACGTGCGCGAAGAGCACAGACGGCTCGCGCATGACGAGTGTGAATGTCATTGCGGGAGAGCGTAATTGACCAAGCGGAAATACTCGACAAACCGTTGAGAAACTCTCGACCGATACTCACTCTGACTGTCGCTGTTGAGGGTTTGCCAGCCATGGACCTGGGAAATGTAACAAATGATAGGGCTTACGTATCTGTCCACCGAAATAGTAGTCCTCATCAAGAGAATAAAAATTCTCTCCAGCATCTCCACGTCTGACTTGCATGAGCTCGTACGCCACACGGCAGAACTACAACCAATGAGAAAAAGAATAAATAACTGAATGCCATTTGAAGCACGATGCAGAACTGCGTACGTGGCTAGAGAACGTGCAAACGAGGTAGTCGCATTTGCTGAGCATCATCACATCACTCAGAAGTCCGCTGAGCGATCGCTCATTGTAACGACTCTTGGCGGCTTCGGCGAAATCGACATTGCCGTACACCTCATAGTTTGGGTACCTAAAGAGAGATTGGTGAAAAGATGGCAAGTCAGCCCGCGCTTACCGCGAAGGTCTTTCAGGGGTGGAGTGAATCCTAAACATATGGCTATTGATAGGTCTCTGGTACTAAGGTAAGGCAATGATTACTAACCATGAGTACCACTTTAGGATGTGCAAGCGTCAATCGAAAATGCGAACCCTTTTGCAAACCGAGGAATCGGACCTCATTCTTTCGTCTTTTTTGGGCTCAAAGGGCCGCAGGAAGAAATGAAGCACGAACGACTTGAAGGCCATGAACAGCTTCATTTTCCATGCACGTATACTCACGTAATGCGAAGAACCGTTCTGAAAAGCAGGTACATGACCTGAAACACCTTCCCGGTTGGAGCTAGCGCTAACGAGCTGGGCTAAGATAAAAACAAAACACCGACATTTTCTTGATTTGAGGCAGGACCCTTGAGTCGTCGGAGGCTACGTACACACGACGCCTGACATTGGTCTTCAAGAGTCGATCTTGAATCTGCAGTGAATAACAAAGTTATTTTGTCTACGAAACAACTGGGATAAGGGTTAGTGGGGGTGACGCATTTAGGATTCTGTATGAAAGACACACCGATTTTGACACGCACAAAGTGCACGCACTGACGGGATTGCCTAAAGTGTGAAACTTTGCATACCTGAAAGTAGATGTCTGCCCATGTCATGTATTCCTCTACCGTATGAAATTTCGCTTCCTTCAATAGCTTGTCATCTCGACGTACATGTACCCCACGATTGGGCCTGAGATCGCGGCAGTTATAAATAATACAGAACAGGTGGTATAAATTTGATCCATTATCTGGGACGGTAGTATGTACCACCAACATGGGCTTGTTAAGGAAGTTGCCATCATATGCCCGTAACCGGCAAAGAACGTTGTTGAAGTTGGAAGGTAACCAGATCTGAAACGCGCAACTTCGCGACATCGTAAGCAAAACTTCGTCCCTCCACGAGACCGAATCCAGCCCATGCGCAGGTGAACCGCTATCGTTTCACTGCACCACCGGGCAATAGCGCACCCTTCTGGGGGGGTCACTGATCACATTAAGATGGCTCAGGGTGTTTGCGAAAAAACTTGCGCAAAAGCTGCTTACATTGCCGGTGACGGCGTAGAGGCCTGGTACTGCGCCATACAGTGTGCACTGGCGAAAAGTGGAAACATGTCTTGAACTGTGTAGATCTAGCACCCTTGCCAGCGGCAGCATGGAACGCTCCTATTGAGCCATTGGTATTGAACTGAGGCGATCCCAAAAAACTATTGAGGGGCCTACTAGGTGATCTCCCAGTAGCTTCCTGTGCTTTCTTTCAGCACGCTCATCGGAATGGATTCATTTTTTCGACTATCGATACCACTCACAATAAGTCGTAGAAGGTACCTCCAACTTGTAGAAACTTACTGGCAGAAAAAGGAATTTTCGACGATTGCGAATTTACGGCTTTTTCAACACCAGGCTGCATCCTCAATACATACCAGACAAACTGAAACAGGTCCTCTGATGGACAAGAAAACGGTACGGCATGGTAGCGATGCCTTTTCAGAGCTCACTGTGGCTCGTTCTGAAGCGTTTACACTCTGCAACTATCCCCATCAAAAAGCGAGAAAGTGTCGGGTGCAGACCAAACACCACAACTGACGACGGCCTCCAAGTAAATCTGGTTAGAAGTTGTTCATAGTGATAGCTGATTTCTGGTAAATGATAGTTGTAATTAGTGACAATCGATAGAATACAACTGCAACAGGCTAATCATTTCATTGGCAGAAAACATTAACATTTTGTGAAGGCCGTCGTCACTTGTGGTGCATGGTCTGCACCCGACACTTTCTCGCTTTTTGAAGGGAGGGTACATGGTTCCGTCATATAGCCAATGCCAGCGAGTATCGACATATACACTGCGACGCATTTACAGTTCACCTACCAAATTCTAAAAACTTGAATCTGGGGATGTTTTTGGAAAAGGCTCTACAGATAAATTGTGACACATATAACATATATACGAATCTGAATATTAACACGGAAATCCAGTTTGAGAAAGCAACAATTTTTTATCCTTATTTTTTCGAAAATATCCGCTTTAGCTTCTCCGCTGCATTTTGCTTTTACCCAATCAAAATTTGGAATTATTATCCATTCAAGTTCCTTAGCTTATAGCAAAGGCAAAACCGCTGTCACACTTCCGTAAAAGGGAAATCCTAGCAAAAGAGACGCAGGCAGGAATTGTCAAAGTGTCAGCTCCGCTGGAATTTGTCGGGGTGACTTCATAACGAACAAATTTCTCAAGGATGCTACAGGATATGACTGGGAGGAACCCTGATTACTATCCGACTGAGATAAGCGCCGTATCGTGAGAAAATGATATCCAGCCGGGTACTGAAATTGTAGGTGGAACTATAATTATGCGTCGCAGTGTAGGTTGTACGGGGTACTGCTGTATGTGTGTAGCAGTGTGTTAATATAAGAAACATGTAGGTATGCATTACTTATTGAAGTACGCGGATGAGAAACAGGGTTCTACGGAGAGGTCGGTGGAGTATGCCTAGCGGGTGTGGGGTTGAACATTCATTCCCGGTGCCCGGCTAGCCAACGCCAGGCTCCTTCGATACCGTAACCTTGGGCCACGCCCCTTCACAGTGGACGTGGACCCGACATCTCCATTCGTTCGAGTGAGCTCGTCCTCGAGCTCTTAGCATCTTTCCAGGCGTGTCCTCCAGAATCAAGTAGCGGAAATACTTCGAATGACATAATGACAATAATAATGCAGGTGAGGTCAGAGAGTTATCCGAAAGCAGATAACCACGTCCTCGCTCACAACAGCGTTGTCATTCGACAACACTGGGAGATCCGCATTCTCTCTAACATATGGAAATGATACATAAAGTGGTGGTCATAAGTATAGCCGGACTATACATGTTGCAGAAATAAACAAGGTCATTGAGCAGCGTTTGCAGACGCAATTGGCGCGTACCTTACAGTACGGGAGTGATGGAGATACGAAGTTCCTGTCACAAGAACGTCCTGAGTGCTTTGTAGACCGCGTACCACCAGCGAACCTCCATATCGGATCATACGGTTGCACAGGCCTTTTGTCTATATGCCTGTAGCGGTGTGTTAATAACGAAAACATAGTAAGCTATACATATTTATTAGATATACTATAGGATGAGAAACAGGGTCATAAAAGTGGGTGGAGAATGGTCACGGTTAGACCATCGCTCCCGAGCCCCGGCTAGTATAGCCCAGGTTACGGTATCGCAAGGAATCTGACTACGTCAACGCCAGGTTCCTTCGACACAGTAACCTAGACCACACCTTTTCACAGTGGACGTGGACCCGACAGGTGCAATCACTCACTTATAGCTAATTTCATCATTATGCGCTTTTGTGCGCACATTAACCCCTCCCTCGCTTTTAGATACGTTGTGCGTGGTGTAGCCCAAAGGCACAATCCACAATTTTTGGGATTGTTATTTCCCCAAAAAAAGCGTAAAAATGTGTTGTGACATTTAGTAACGAGGGAAAGGAAGAAAGTCAGAAAAGTCGGAGCGGCAGCTAAGTTTGAATTCTGGAGCCGTTGAAGCGATCGAGTGCCAGATAGATTCAAGGCTTGATTACCAGGGTGTAGTCATACAGTCTCTTTTCAGAGCTCGATCGATCAGCCGCTTTTCTCAATTACTCGATTGATCAGATTTGTATCGGTTACATTATTTATTTGTCCTCCGAAGTTGTGCAACTCATTTGGATCTCTACCTGGTGATATCAGTTCAGTGAAACAACCCCAATTTTAATGTGTGAACTGCAATAATATTTAGTTTACTAACATTACTCTAGTACCTGGCTGATGAAGAATGCTGCTGGGTTGGAGTGCAGTGTGATGAGCTGATCAGAAAACGGCCTAGGAATAGCCAGTGGAGAAACTCCGGCCTGGAAACTCAATTATGACGGCATTTCGAAATTCATTTCTATTGCTTCTTTACTTTGTCTCACCCACTGTCACCAATTCTTTCATCCCACCCTTAGATGTCCTTGTGTGCTCGAGCTAAGGATTAGACGTGATTATGTGAAGCATACAGTCGTTAACAGTCGTTAACAGAACAACAGCAATCCACAAGAAATGATGGAGTTTGTGGGGATAGATTGAACTTTTGTATGTATTTAAAGGAGACGTCAATGTAAGTGACTGAGTACGGTCACAGAAGAGCCGATTATCCGTGAAGACTTGAGGAATGGGTCACGGTCAATACGAGAAAGGCCTCAAGAGGGTTCTTGACATAATGACACACATTTCAACGAGAACAAGATTCTTGGGGTTTGGCCTACTGCGATCGGCATCGGTAAGCTCTGCCTAGCAACTCCTGACGCCTCGAACCTTTCGGTCCGAGGACTTTCCATCGGGTCCACAACACCTCTCCTGCGCACCTGGAGAGAAGCGGACCAACCCCTCGGGGACCATGGGGTTCCTAACGGGTCCCTACTGCCTCCCGCAGCTCCCGGGTCAGAACCAAGGGCGCCAAACCCTTGCCAACCATGGCGCAAACAACATACATAATGAACACATAGATTAGGAAGAAAACCCACATGATTATACGCAACATAAGAACAATATATTTATTATACGCAATAACTCACCATCACCTCTGATCTCCCTCGGCCACCTCGCTCAAGGGCAGACCAGGCCAGCTGACTGCACGTATTAGACCCCCATCCCGCTCGGGACCATTTCTATGGGCACCTTACGGTCGGCGTGTCCTCGCTGGGGCATGATGACAGGCTGCTCCCAGACGGGGAGCAGGGGTGGAACACGACCGGCTCTACGGCGGGCGCTCCACCGGTTTGGACTCGGGAGACGTTCCCCTCGCCTTCGGTCGGCCTCCTCGCGTTGCCCGTTGAAGACCGACCTGCCACCGTTTACCAGCGTTGGAGCAACGCAGTACCCGTTTCAAGCAAGGGAGTTGCACAGCTATCCATGACTTACGTGGAGCGACCGCTCCACGGCGGTGATGGTAGGTGAACAACGGCTGGCACCGACCGTAGGGGGCGGAGCCAATGACGCAATGGGCGCATTGCGCATTGGCATCCGAGCGCGAATGGGCCGGGAGCGCACGGTGCGCCTCACGGAGCAACCGTCGTATCCGCGACAACGACTGTGAAACCAGAATACCCTCCTGCCTTAATAGGATGGCTGACAAGAAGTGATTCCTACGTTAATGTATTGCTGCAAAATAATATGGGCATTCTAAAAATCAAATCTTTCCGCGTCATGTGGCATCAAGGAGAGATCGAAAACATCTGAGGAGTGCCCGCCTGCTTCAAAACTTTAAAGGGAGCAGGTCGTTGGCCAAAATGTACTCGCCGTTGTGCAGTGCCATAGCAGGGGATATCGCATCGGTGAGTCCGATATGTGAATGGTTTTGGGGACTCCGAAGGGAGAAGAGAGCTTGAAATGCCAAGGTCATTCCCGAAGCCGTGAATAACAAGGACAAGAAGGAACTGAAGAACGCTCTCTCCGAACGACAAAGTGTATCAGGCGATGTGATCCAAGTGTGATCAGGAGACGATCACTGAAGGCTATCGGCCAAGAATTCCATCTCTGTGGTGAATTGAAAACAAACTGAACATTAGAATGGATTGAGCGCTCACCTGTAGGAAGCTGAATCAAGAGAGGTGAGTTTAATGAATTTCCGAGAATCGAGTTCAAGGTCGATGTCCTGTTCGGCCTGAAATAAACGTTTGCAGCAGTTGCTTGTGTACAGCAGTTCCATAAATCATTTATCCAAAGAGTTTAATTGAGGGCAACGATGTCCCAGTACGTAGGCTGGACTATGGAGCGCATCTGCCACGATGGGCGGAACCGGACGTGTTGTTGTGGGCAAAGTGCATGGGGAGCGCAGGCCATGGGTATGTTTCCGGGGAATTCCAACGTGAAAGCCAATCAATATTCCCCGCTTAGTTGCGTTAGCGTCCCCCACCACCAACGATTCCTTAATTTTTCAAGACTATTGGCTGTAGGTGTATGTCAAACAGAATCGTCCAGATCCTCACGCTCCTGGTCGTGGACGCGACGTCGCAGGTCGTGGACAAGCTTTTCGTGTGCATCATTCGAATTCGAAATTCAGAATTACGCCAGGCAGGCCCCTAGTTTAGCATCCCTTAAACCTTTCTTCTCTACGTGTTTCTTAATAGTGCGATCGAATATAAATTTGCTCACGTTTTTTATTCTATGAAAGAGCCAGAGCAAGAACGATGGAGAATGATACCCGCGCTACACATAGAGTATCGTGGACCGCAAGAAATTCACTGCACGAACCGTCAAATGCAGAAATCCATCTAGAAAATGCCGTGTCGCGGTCTGCGCAAGTAGCCGCACGTGGCGGCGCGATGACCGGACGACTCTGTTGACCGTTCCCCTTTGCATGCGACAGAGATTATAGAGCTTCCAAAAGAGTTTCGTTCTCAGTTGATCCAACTCACCTCAGGCAGAGATTTGCCATCTCGATCTCTCTGAAAAAAACAACTATCTAAGCGACCATCGTCTCATAAGCCTAGAGAGTTTTAAATTCCTCGGCTTGTTGTGCCGTTGAAATATTGGCTAAAATTCATCGATGAAATATCGAAAGCAGATTCGAACCTAGGCTGTGGCGGCCCGACTGACCAACTGCACTGAGATGCCTTTCTTGATGAAATGCATAGGTGCATAAATGCAAAAATGCATACTAAATTTACTAAGGAAACTATTTAGTAAGTGTTGTAAGGAAGTGACGGGGTTTCCGGGACACTGTGACCCGTCGGTGGGCCATAGCCACATCTTACGAAAAACACGTGTGGTCCCACGCGCCAGACACGTTTAGAACGCGCGGCAAATGAATTTACTAAACATTTCCATCTATGAAAATAGGTGGGAATCAGCCTTGGTGACTGTTGCATTTTTTTGGTGAACGGCTACAGTTTTATTTCGAACAACACTGGCGACTAGGCAGCTCATGAATCACATGATTGATATGAAAAAAAACCAAAAAGCAACCTCATCTGGAGCAGAACATGGAGTGATTTCCTGGAACATCGCCGGCCATCCCTTTTTGTGATAACTGCAAAAAAAACAGTTCGTCAAATGGGCCCGCATCATATCTTCCATAAATTTTGCCAAAGCGGGAAACTGCACTGGGATAATCTTTTCAAAGTCAGCGACTATAATAATTTGTGGGAGTGTTCGGAAAGACGAGGTGGTGCTCAGTGGTACGCCAGTGGCGAAAAAAGCAGAGAAATCCGTCAAGAAAATCTTTTTTGGCCGTTGGCTTCCACTCATGAACAGGTAACAGCTCAGAAGTTGGACGTATGAACGAGTTCACCGCAACGCGTTTGGTGGCACCATGCCAAACCACGCTCCAATCGAGTTGCTCCAGTTGTGCCGCTGCTGGCAACGCAGCTCGTCCAAATCACCAAAACTAGTGGGCGGATCGCTTTTGGGGCGGAGCGCTTTCGAAGTCCTGCTCAGCAACCAGCGCACCTTTCGTCGTGAAAGCGCCACACCTCGCTTCCCTGGCAGCCAAGTAACTGCTTCATGTGGCGATGCGCTTCCTCATTATCGTAATCGCTGCGTTTAAAGCCTCAGTGTCCTCCGGAATGTCGACAAATTGTCCACTCCTAAGTCGAATTTCAGAACATTTCCTCCCCGAAGAGGGTAAGGTAGCGCAATTTATATACATAAGTGTAACACGACCTCAGTTCTCCCAGGCTGACCATGACATTCTTCTATTTAGAAGGTGGTACTCAGACTTTGCTCTCAAAATGGTGCAAAAAACAGGCAACACGTGGTCTTTTCCACCCTTCCCCCAAGTCACTTCATAAGCTATAGCTGGAAGGAGGGAAAGATGGGGCGTATCCCGAAATTTTCTCGATATTGACCCTGCTTCAAACTAGCTAATATGATCGTGTCTGCGCCTTCTCGCTGCCGCTTCATCGCGGTCTGATNTCCTGTCCTGCGCACATTGTTTGTGTGTATCTGACAGTCTTCATTAAACACTTAAAAGTATGTTCTCCGAAGAGGGAACAAAAAAGAAAGATGAAGAACTTCCTTTCTGATAGGCAGTGGGAAAACTATGAGAATAACAGAAAAAATTGGCCTTGCGTGCAACAATTGCAATGTTTCGTCGTTTGGAGCTCGAAAGTGCGTATTTCATTGACCTCGCTCATTAATATTCTCTGAAAATGTATGACTCACATCCAATTGGTACCGTTTTCACTGAGAACAAGGGTTCGTCGAGTTGCGAATGCAACCAATAGACAGTAAGCAAGATGGTGAACTTGGCATCCAAAGCCACAATTGTACAGCACATCACAAGCTACAAATCTGAAAGGAGTAGATGCATGGAGAAGGTCTGAGTCCGAGAACTTACTTTCTCAGATGACAGTTCTGTGGATTCTGTGATTTCCAGAGCTTCTTCTGGATGAGGTCCGTAATGTGCCGCAAAGACTGGCGTCTCCATTCAGCAGCTCCGCCAACTTCGGCAAGTTTTAAGGACTCCGCAAATAGCACATAGAACTGCAAAGTCTTCCTAGATTGGATCGGGGCTAACGGCTGGCTAACAACTGAATGCATATTTTAAGCAAGATTTCCAACAGTCCAAGAGCACCAGTGTTTGCTATCTGCTTACCTACATGTACTGTAATAATAATATGTACATCTAAAGCCTGTGAATAACATCGTGACCTAGATGAGGTCAAAATAAGGTCTGCTTTTCACAGGAAAAGTTGGTGAAAAAACGCATTTCACTAGAGTACGCCATCAATCTCATGATGGCGCTTAGTCAGCTAAAATCGTCGAAACTTTCGCCCTTCATCTTCTAGTTGGTAGCTTAGAGGCCTAAGAGAGAAAATGTGCCCCCCCAACTCGGGGAAAGTTCGACGAGCTGACGCGACCAGTGGTAGTTCCGCCGGGACAAAGAGATCTTCTAGGCAGTCCCATGCTTGCATCGAACACTGTTGATACTGGCCTGGTGTCGCATTCCATGCTTGTTATCTATTTATATTACACAGCGTGCGTCATAAATGTTGTAGCAAAGTAATTGTAGCACAGAATGTGTACTTTAAAGTGCAACACGATCACACTACACATTTTAGCATTGATTATCAACGAATAGCTGCAAGATGATTAGACATGGATACACCTGGCACGTATCACAGTCTTAGAATTTTTTGACACCTGTGATTCTTTTGTACCAAAAGGATAAGAGGGGCTATGATTTGGCGGAACGAAAACGCAAAAAAAACCTCAAGAATTCTTTGGTCCTTTAACTTGAACAAGCTAAGTTCTGTGCCAAAAGGGTGGATAAGCAGCTGTCGCAATCACCTGCCTCCATTGAGATGTACAAGGAGAGGAATCAAATGGTGCCGTGTCAAAAAAAACAGGAGAAACGGCAAAAAAATTTAGAGACGGAACCCCTTTTCACCCTATAATTCTGGATGTAGACGGGTTCAAGGCTAAGATAGGGCTGTTCGGGTGAAATTAAAAATTAAATTATGAACGTTAATGCTCAAGCAGTTGCTGCTTCTAAGGCAACAGTAATGGCGCTACAACACTGCACATGGAAAAGAAAATAGAGTGATAGTGGTAAATATATAAAGCGATTAAATTGATGTTTATAAAAGGGGGACAGAAAATACGTTGCCGTTGACATCCCTTCCACGTGCCGGCGTGGGAGGTGTCTGAGAACAGGAAGGGCTTTTGAAGCGAATTCCAGCGCTTTACCACGTACGCCTTCCATAGCGAAATTTCCGTAAATGTTTCCGAAACTTTTTACCATCAAAACAATTTTGCCGATCCAGTAGATCTTCATAGAAGAGTAGTTTGCTCCTTAATATGCACCACTGGAGCTCTGAAGGATTAGCTGAAAAGACTGGACTCAAAATCTTGTGTGCTGCCGTTGAAACACACCGATATTTTATCAGGCCGTGAATCGTGCCGGAGTTACTGCTGTGTCGCGAAGTAAATGTCTCGAGATTATGCGTTTCAGTTTCTGTGCCATCACAACTTTGCTAGGACATTTGTGGTGAACTTCAGTCTCGTTCTCCAGCTAGTAAATAAGAACCTGATCTTCTATATGGGCGAACGTGGCGTCATTTTTGCTCTTTGACGAAGTCTTTCGCAATGATCTGGAAGAGCTGAAAAATGGAAATGTACAAAAGCGAGAAGGGTTATGCAAAGGCAACCTAACCATCAGCAATGATCGGACGAATTTTCGCCTTGCAGTTTCATGTTCTTTTGGGAAAAAATATTCCTTTACGTTTGAGGATGTTGGAGAAAGTGAGGCTGTGTGCTTCTGTTGCTCTCCTCCTGAGAATCGCTTTATTATGCGCAACCATGAAGAGACAACTTACAATTCTATGTCCAGATCTAGTTTGCAAGTCAATATTAGTATAAGGTGCACATCCCGCTCTCAAACTGAGGGATCTTCAAATGCCTGGGCACAAGTTTCGGTAACTGGCGGATGCGTAGTTGCGTGAGCGCATTTGCGCGCCGAAAGCGCAGCATTTTTTTTCAATACAGTGCGTTTCAAAAGTATGTGGACACCTCACAATTCACGTTAAAAAGGTAACTAAGAGGTTTCGTGCTATGCAACCCTCCTCAATCGATTTCTCGTAGTCGATAACGTATCAGAGTAAGCAAAGCAGATAATATCGCCTTCACTTTCGAAAAAAAATTTTGGATTGAATTTTTTCTTTGTTTCAAAAGTATGTGCACACTTAACAAAAGAAAACATAGCTGAGATTAGAAATCAGTGGGGCCTCCAGAGTTTCTAATTAGCTCAAACATCCTGTCCGGCATAATCTGAACCACGTTTGGCATAGCTGTTTCGTCGCTGTCGGCCCAAATAGCCTCTACCGCCGCCTTCAGTTCATCCGCGGTATTATACTGCCGGTTGCTAAAGTTAACGCCTTGATCAAGGGCTCCCTATAGGGTTGCAGTAAGGAGGACACACAAGCCAATCTATCGCTTCAGCACCATTTGGTTTGGCCATTCTTTGGTAGATTGCGAAGCATCGAAAGACACGTGGTCCTGTTGCTAAAATGCAATTTTCGCTCCGCTTCGCTAAGAAAAGGCAACAGGTGACATTGGAGCACTGCTTGGTATTCTTTTCATACGCAATAATGGAACGGCAACTTCCAATTTCCCGCTGCTTGCGAAACCGCCCAGACCCATCAACGG